CCTGCCTGGCAAGTACAAGGACCCGAATTCAATCTCTGGTACTGCATGCCATGCTGACCCCAGAGCCCAGGGCACGCTGTGCCTGTGAACTAGGCGTGGTGGCACACGCCTGTAATCCCAGCAGTAGGGAGACTGAGACAGGAGTATGAGTACAAACTGCATAGCAAGAGCCTGTACCAAATAAAAATAGATAAATGAATGAATGAAACAGGAGAAAAACTTATTACTGTCACCATTTTTTTTTTTCTATTTTAACCTAATCTTGATAGTAAAACAGCACAAAAAGGCAATAGGCTTGAAGGCACGATTATAGAAATTGTTTAAAATCATTACACAACTGGACAACCCACTTTCCTGGTCCCCTTCTGTCTCATTTAGAGAGACGCTGTCTTTCCCCTCAATAAAAATTTCCTTATCTTAAAAAAAAAAAAATTAAACAATCTAAATCCTGTTCCATTATGGTGAGTTAATTTAAACAAGAGCATTTGTAAAATAGCATTACTATTAAATATACATGAAGAAAGATGACAATGTTATGATACATAAAAAATGCCCAAGGAGCACAGGCAACTAAGGCTTTAAAAAAAAAAAAAAATCACGAATCACAAACTACACCAACCAATTAAAGCTTTAAAAAACAAAACAACAACAACAACAAAAAACCCTCAACAAACCAACTCCACAAACCATAGACAAAAAGCAGCTTTCTCAGCTTCTATTACTCAGTAAGAGATTACTGGGGGAAAATATCTCCTATAATAGATATCATTTCTATAAACTCTGTCATCATAAGGCCTCCACTATGCTGAATTCTGAGCAAAATGACAGAAAGTGAAATTAATTCTTTTTTTTTTTTTTTTTTGCGGAACTGGGGATTGAACTCAGGCCCGTGTGCTTGCCAGGGAAGAGCTTATTCTATTGAGCCATCTTCTCAGCCCCTTTAAATTTTTAAATACTGTTTCCAATAATAATTCTAAATATTGTTTCCAATAATAATTACAGGTCAGCTTTTGAGATAAGACAAGCGCCTCAGCCTTCCAGAACTTTGAACTGATGTACTTGCTTGGGCACAGGAAAAGTAGTCCGATTTCTTCCTAATAGAACAAATCCCTACTCCTACCACAGGAATGAAATTTAAAATCACTGGAAAGCTGTTCAGGCTGAAGGAAGAAACAGTATTATTCACTGTTTTCATTATTTGAAAAAAAAAGGCACTGTTACTGTGTCTATGATATTGTAAATCCGACACATCTTACCTATGAGTAATTTTTTTTTTTTTTTTGCCATGAACACAGATACAAAAATGTGCTTAAGTTACATAAGTCTTTAAATCTGCTCAAATTTGAACCTGTTTCACTGTGGCCATGACAACACAGACTTCACTAAGTTAAGGTGTGCCACTGCACCAGAATTTCTGAGTCCTGGAATTTATAAAATTTAGTTACTCCTACACTACCTTATGCTCTTATATGTTCATTTACCATCCCAACTACTGTTTACCATATTGGTGGTTCAGTGGTAGAATTCTCACCTGACTACTGTTTACCTAGTACTGTTTAAAGTTTGAAAAAAGTATCTCTTCTTTACTATTACTCTAATTGCCATTCTTGTTTGGTCACAGATATATGCTAGTTAGGCTGACACTCATTAAAAACACAGAAAGCAGGAAAACTGAATTTTTGCAAAAGGAAAGGATACTAAGAGATGGAGAGAGGGGAGAAGACAGGAATGGGATACAATAGAATTAAGATGTCTTATGTACATGGGCTAATTCCCCATGATGAATTTAATCATTATGCACTGGGAACATGTACTATTTTTTTTAAAAAGTTTAAATCTAGAAAAAAAAAAATGGTAAACAAAAACTATTCAGTAAAAACTACCAAAAATCATCTTGTACACCATCAACATTCAAAAAACCACATTCTGGTGTGTTCATTTCAATAGCACATATTTTAAAAGCGTAATCAAAGTCATGCTTTGAAAAACAGTAATTTGGTCCTAAATCCTTATGTCACAGTTAAAGAAATAAACTCAAAGAGAAAGCATGATCTGCCCCAAGACACATAGCACCTGGTAGCAATCTAGGCTACCAACTGAAATAATCAGCGGTGGTCCCACTACAGTAGACCCTCCAGATAGATGAGGTACCAGGAGACTGAAGGCCAGAAGTACAGACCTTGGCCTCAGTTGAACAAAGAGTGAGCCTCGAGACCTTAGGCTCCCTTTGCACATGGATCTGGGCTTTCCACTATCTCTGAGAAGCATCATACAAAACATGGTACTTACCAACTGCCTTTTTCAAAGATTATATGGATTGGAAGATAGAAATCTGCTTTCTTTCAAAGTCTCATATGGTTTTGCCCAACTCAGTAAACTTCAAGGTATATGACCAAAGATAAACATGTCTCCTGGATCAGTTTCCTAATTTTTGATCAACAGTGTCCTAACACCTTATGCTCACAGTTAGACTCATAGGATTTCAGGAAAAAGATTTTCTATCTCTGGGTTTTAGGCCAGCTTTGAAAGCAGGCAGGAAGTTTCCATTACA